TTATTAAAGATGCATCCTACGCGACACCATTTATCATAAAATTATCGAAAAGCGTTATAAATTATAGATTTTCTCCCATTTTTGATGATCTAAATGTTGTGGATCCTTTTGCATTGACTTTGCCCGTTTGCCTGTTTCCCTCATCTCATTCTCATCGAATTTATATGGTTTGGAAAATGCTTGCCGCTGGGCTCTTTCTATCTCCATTTCACTACAACAACTACGTTTGAACGTGTGCAAAGCGTGTTTTGTTTTAGTTGGTGTTGCTGTTGTTTTAGGTATTTATACGTGTTCTTTTTTCTTTGTTTATTTCTTCATTCATAAGCACTGATGATGATGACGACGTCGACGATGTTGAAACTTTAAGTTTTTGAATATGGATCGTGTCAGCTCTTGCATATTTTTCGTTAAACGATTTCATTGTTCCATCCTTATTGCTTCAGTCGACATTGATGACTATACGCATTTAACATGAACTATATTCACGGTATTTCGTTCATTCCTTTCGTAATAGGAGAGCGAATGTTCTAGTGTAGTAAAAATTTCTTCCGTTTTCAACGTGTTTTTTTTTATATTCACTGCAGGAACACCGCGCACAACCTTTGTATGCCTCTTTAAATTGCCATGGCTGATTTGCTCGAGTGCAGATAAAAGTTTTGAGCAAACAACACGGGAATCGGATTTTCTTTATGTTGTTTTCATTTTTCTTCTTTTTTCTCTCACTATCGTTTGCTATTTTTCTCTCTCACACTCTCAAACGTTTTTTTTTTTTTTTTGCTTTTGTCCATTTCTCTGTATAAAAGGAGATGGTTCACAGGCTTTCTCTGGCATTCTTTTTCTCTTATTTTCCGGTTGTGTTTTATTTCTTTTCTGTAGTTTTTTATTTTTATTTTTTCTCTTTTAGTTCAATGGTACATCTTTTTCTTTCCGGGATTTGTGATGTTTGAGTTTATGGGAGCGTTTGAATATGAAAGCGGCCAAGACAGATTTCTATTTCTCATACATATACACATTTCTATTGCGCTCTCTGTGTGTGTGCTCAAGTTTTTAATGTCTCGTTCGCGATATTATATGCGCGCTCTTGTCCGCGTTCGCTGCATTCGTTTGGTGTATGTGTGTGTGTATGCTTGTGTCGTAATTGTAATCAAGATTTACGATTGTTTTCCATTATTGCTGTTGTTCCACACTTTTTCATTATAATTAATGTTCTATTCTCTTCGCCATGCTTGTCCTATTCTTTTGAAATGGCTCGTACATACAAAAAAAAGAGTGTGTAAAGAACAAATAAAAAAATGCTGCGGAATGACTGCTTGTTATAAACACCGATTTTCTACGTTCGAAGCAAAGAGTGGCATTGGGGGCATTTATATAAATGGCCACCAGCAACACGGAGGCAGAGGCGAATACAGGAACCGACAGATGAAATGAGGAGAGATAGAGAAAGACAGACAGACAGATAGAAAAAAATAATCGGCTACAATTCTGGACAGAATCATAGAAAGAGAAAATAAGAATCGAGATAAATTGAAAAATTTATTAATCGGTAGAACGCAATTTTTCTGCTTTCAAAAAGTTTTATTTCGCTAGATAAGCCAGACCGCGCGCGCTCTCCTCCATACACATACACACAAAAGGATAGGCGATCGGAAAAAGTTCGTTTACGTATGAAATAGACGATGATGCGAGCATACAAGGAACAACATGCACACGTAACCATCGTCTGAATACCTAATAACAGTAATAATGGCTTTAGTTTCTTCTCTCGCTGTCTATCTCATTCTCTCCATTCATTTATTTGGAGTATGTGTGTGTATATATGAGTGTTTTGTGCGACTTTTTTCCCGGTGCTTTTTGTCGGAAACTTTTTGCCCTTTAACGAACAAAAAAATCCGTTTGCACATACGAATATGGTAGCAAAATATCAGGGCAGAACATTTACGATTATTATGATTATTACTATACGTCTCCATTTGTTGATGTCAGGCGAGCGAACGAGTTGTTGGCAAACGTGCACCCGAAATTCCTTGTTATTTCCCTCAAATTGCTGTTGTGTGAAAATCTAGTCAGTAGTTTAAAGAAATCGCCGTTTTTTTTGTTGTTTACCGCTGTTAGTGTTGTTGATATTCCAGAAAGCGGGCACTTTTTTTTTCATTCATTCACTCTCTGTTGACTCATCTAATAATCATAATTTTTGGTGTGCCATTGTGTTCGTGCTGTTGATGCATTTTTGTGGGTTTTTTTTCTCGCTGTTGGCTTGAAATTTGGTGTGTGTGCGTATGTGAAAGCAATAAAAAAAAATTCTCTCATTTATTTGTTTTATTCATTTGATTCGCTCGTTCATTCTCGTTCGCATTCTCTTTCATTGAGTTTTTTTCGCATTCGTCCTCTTGGTGTGTACGGGATGTTTCTTATTTCATGTTTGTTCTCTCAACATAAATTGTGTACGTTTGTTCCATTGTGTAAATACACATACACATTCCAGTTTGCTCAATCTTATGGGCAAAAGTGGTATTCACATACTCACACTTATACACCAAAAAAGAGAGAATTAATTCACATAATTCCTAGTTTTACACATTAAACACGCCATTTTTACCAGAGGCTATTATAAAAGCCACTCTATATGTATCGCATTCTGATTCCGCCACATTGCGTTTGCCTTGAGAACAGTGCGCTGGTTGGTTGGTATGCCGTGCTCTTTCTCAGTTCTCGTTTACGTATTATCGTATAAGCGTTTTAAGCTTCGATTTATCCTCAGTTAAGTTAGTTGTAACGCTGTTTGTTAAAACGATGTATACATATCGCAATGACCATATATGGCTATGGTGCCCGGTTTTGACCCCGTTGCTCATTACCTAATGAGATTAGGCGCGTCCAATTCATTCTCACCATTCGTATATGCGCACACACACACACACACGATTTCATTATTATTATTATACACATGCCATGAAAGAAAGTATATTGCCAGTGGTTATTCTCTTTTGCTTGCTTACTTGTATGTGACATGTGATTAAACGAATTTATCCTCATGGACAACGGCATTTCTGTATTATATATGTTAAATGGTGTCTGGGAAATGCATTGTCCATTTTCGAATAATATAAATGGCAGGGTGTAGATCAGGATTTTTTGTACGCTCAATGACTTCACTAAAATCCATTTGAAAGGCACATTTTTGTAACTCACGCAATATAATCATTATCGGCTATTTTTTTCTTGGCTTTCGGTTTCACTCCATTGTTTAGCGGTCAGATATTCTTAATTTTCGGATAGAGGCCAATAAAAGAAAAAAAAGATTATACCGGCGAAAAAGATGAAGAAGGAATAGAATGTGAGTGGAAAAATTACTACTATTACAACGATATTAATAGTTGGAAATATGACATTAAAAACGGAATAATATTTCATTTACAAGTGATAAATGGTTATACGTTCAACACACATCGGGAGGCTATTTATAATTCCTTGTTTGTTAATTTTTTTTTTTTTTTGCAGAGAGAGAGAGAGTGTGTGAGCTGAACAAATACTGACCGGAATAGAGAATATGCTACGCGTCTACTCAACCGCAAATACTATGAAGCAACCCATAACACAAATACACAACATATTCAGATCCGAACCGAATGCCGTTTCGAAAACCAACCAAACCAAGGCATGCCATGCCCAAAATAATTTCAAATATTTTCGCAAATGATAATCCTCGTAAGCCGAAAACCATTCAAAAATATCACGATTCGGTTCCATTAGCAAAAGCCATTTGTTCGATTCGAATTTGTTGGCCAACGGGAAATAGAGACATTTCCAAATGGTATATTATACTAAAAAGATGCGAGCGCGCGCGTGTGTGTTAATACATATATGCATGCATGCAAGCCGGTGCGTTCCACTCTTCTTTTACTTTACGCTCAAAACTGCACGAATAAATGCGCACACAATGGTGCAAACCAAACAGAAAATTGGTTTGAATTTTCACACTATTTGCTTAAAATTTAATATTTATGAGAACGAGATGCCGTCCATTTAAGCGCTTAAATTTTAAAGTTAAATATACAGAAAAACGAAAACGGCAACAACAACACCATTAACAAGTTATACACCAAAACAGCCGATGCAAACCAAAAATTGTAAACTGTATTAAAGTCTAGCCCTCCGCACACAATTTACACATTACAGCCGAATTAACTTGAACGAAAATTTATGAACACAGCCGTTAATTACACACACACATACATACAAATTTGCATTTGAATATTTAACAAAATATTCACGGCGAATTGAAAAATAACGAAAATAAAACAACATGGCTCGCCTAACATACAATATACATTCAATTTCGATAATAATACACATGCAGTGACTAAAACTAAATGGTGATACAGCTGTTGTTGAATAACATTCTGTGGAAACACTTTTAGGAAATTTAATGCTCTTCTACCACGCATTGTTTATTGAATATAAATGTTAATTTTCCAAAAGGAAAAAAAAAACCTCACACACGACTACTACCAGACATTTTATTGCTAGTTTTGTATGTTATAAAACGATGATGATGGTTCTCGAACAAACAATCGTCGCACAAAATAAGATTCATTTTCTGACGCCAAGAGAGTGAACCGGAAACCCAAACCAACAACTAGCGCACATTTGTTATTTTCGAAATAATCCATTTTGAGTTGCAAAATTCAAAGGTTCGGCCTTTTATTATTCCCAAATGGCACTTTGAAAATGTGTGTGAGGGCAAATATTTTTGAGCATTAGTCACTGCGATCTGAACCGAACCAATGGCCAAATATCAGACCGAGAAGAGAAAGGGACGGCCAACGACTATGAATTTACATTACCTATTTGCGTTATGGATGCAAATATCTGTATATGTGTGACGTTTGGCCAATTGTTAATATGTCGAGAGTTTTTGTTGCTGTGATTTTCAATGTTCATGCCGAAATATTAGCAAAACGTATCTTTGGGATTAACGCCAATAAAAAATCAATAAATAATTGTTGCTTTTATGACCAACCAAAATTTTATTTGTTTCAAAATTTATTATCGTTCGGCACAATTCGACATAATAATGCATATAATTGATGACTAATGGCGATGGCGGGGCTCTTCCCTAACTAAAAAAAACACCAGCCGGAGCATTGTTTATCAAAGGCATTAAATTCGTCTAATGTTTGCCGTCAAGTGTTTAATTACCAGCCTTGAAATTTAATGGAAATTGTAAAAGTTTAATTTAAGATGCGAAAATAAAAAGTGACTGCAAAAAAGGTGATTACCATGAGACACTTACCATGGCTATAACCGCCGTAGCTGCGATAACCCCCACCATGTCCTCCATATCCGCCACCATGTCCACCTCCATATCCACCTCCATAACCGCTGCCGCCGTATCCCGAACCGCCTAAGCGAATGACCTTGTAAAATGAAATTAAAAATTTTAATGTGAAAAATAAAGTACATGAGCCGGTTTATTTGATGTTCTTAAAATGAGTGGGTATTCTTGCATGGTTTTGATCCAAATTATGCGATTTCCTGGTGTGTATGTCTTGTTTACCGTCCAAGACACATTACATAGACACTCACATAATCCAATTCAAAATACTAAAACAATGAAACTGAAATGAGCAGTGATGATGTTCTGCTTCAGCAAATATTATTTGTATGCGAGAGAGAGAGAGAGAGAGAGAATGTATGAATAATGTAGCTCACAAGCTCATTAGAGTCACGTTAAAAATATTTATGACTTATATCGGGTATTAAATGCTCGAAATTTACCTTTATTGTGCTGATGCCGCCACCATAACCTGAAAAATGTGCGAATTAAATTAATTATTACACTCAAACTTCGGTATGCTTTTGCTTTGCCTCTCAACAGCAGAACAAGACTGGATAAAGCTTAGAATAAAAAAGGGGAACATGGAAATGGACACAAATAAAGAAAATAAAAATACAGAGCAACATCCAAAACAGTTAAATGCTTTTCACTGTAGATTATAAAGACTATAAACTTTGTGCCATTCATTCAATTGACAGCACATCTGTTGACCCTCTTTTCCGATTTAGCGCAACCATTTCACTTCTTTTGCTGTTTTGTTTCTCTCGCCAACTCTTTTTTTCTCGTAACTCTCGGTTGCATGTGTCCGTTTGATGGGTAGTAAGTACTCCAACATAATCAACTACTTTTATATAATTTCAAATTCAAGTTTTTCATTTTCGTAAATCCTCTTGAAACTTGCAAAAGCGGTGCTTGAAAGTTCTGCCGACACACACACTCACAGAAAAACGGATTGCGAGGTTAATCTGTAATCTTCATCATACGCAACAAAAAAAAAGAGAGAAAGAGAGCGAGAGCGAAGGGAAAAAAGTTGACGGTCCACCATGCATACTTTGCCATAAACTCATTTTATACTCCGTAATGAGGATGTATTAACTGTTTGCGCGCCGTGCACGCTTTATGTGCTTTTCACCGTGAATCCGTTTCTGCTTTAATAGTTTTTAAATTTCAATCAAGTAATTCATGTCGCATTACTCACCACTGCTGTAGCCTGTGTCGTCAGGGTGTGTGTGTGTTTTTTTTTCATTCATCCGTATCAGTGGTTTGAGTTTTTTTTATTGTTGTTTGGTTCGTGCCGTGTTGAAAATGACAGAAACGAAATCAATTAGTAGTTGAAGAAATGTTTGAGTCATAAATTTTAGATGAAGCGCAACTTTTGTCGCAATTTGTCGATGTTGTTAAAAAGTGGGTACTTACCCCCACCGTTGTAACCACCACTGTAACCACCTCCGTAACCACCTCCGTAACCACCTCCATGAAAACCACTTCCATAATTAGAATATCCACCGTAGCCACCTTTTTCGAGAAATAAAATCAAGACTATTATCGAGACGGCCGTTTAAATATGTATTATATTCAAACTGTCAAAGACCAAATTCATTGTATACAAAACCTAGGGGCTTTTATCTTCAAATGTATACGATTTATACTCTAAATAGTGAACTATATTGCAAAATCATCTGTAATACGCGCAAATAAATGTGCATAACTGCATATATTTGGTGTATATTTCGTGTATATTTCGTATATATTTCGTCTATGGCATGTTTTTTTGTTCTCTTTTGTGCGGATCTTCTTCGATTCTGTGTAGCAATACTGTGTGTGTGTGTACACTGAAGTTTGAAATACATCTTATTCACTGGTATAGGCGAGAAATTTTAATCGTATATATGATGAATAGGACGTGAATATTGTGTATAAATTTGTATGAACGAATGATGAAAGCCCCTAGTACAAAACACAAATGGAAACCGCATGAATGCTTAATGTTCGATCAAAAGTACCCGCGGCACACATCTACCGCCGCCGCTATCAGTACCAATATGCGCATTTAATATCAATGCAAGACAATCAAAATAATAAAATAAACAAAATGACTGAACGAAAATACTAAATATACTAATAAATATTTGCTATTTACCGCCGCCAATGCCGCTTAAATAACCAGCCTGAGCATCGGCAACAAGAGCAATCAACACAGCACAAATGATAATAGCCTACGAAAGAAGGACAACGTTCGAATATTCATTAAATTTATTATATTGTATACACAATTACACATATATATTATGGGTGGATGAGAGTCGAGAAGAATGGATGGTAAGTTTTTTGAATGAAAAATAAAACGTGCAAATATCGATCTTACTTTCATTGTTTTAAAACAATACTTGAATGTACCACTTCTGAATGAGAAAACACGATTGAATGTTACCATCGATACGGCCCAGCTCTTTTATATAGTAAATCTCTATCTCTCATTCCATCCACACTCTCGCAATCCCTGCTCGAAAAGATGGAATTTTTGTAAAATTCACTTTGTGCTCACGACACAGAACAATAACAATTCGCCGCGTTCAAATAATCGGTAATTAATTTGGAATGCTCATTTAACAATGATTGCAGTAACGGTGGCAACATCAATGGTGTGGTAGTGGCGGTTGGTGATGCTGATAATTGACAGATTCATTCATTTACGGCATTCAATGGGGATTGGCACACACAATGGAGGAAATCATATTTAAAATGAAGTTATAATAAATGAATCGATTTGCTTCGCTAATTTCTGAAAATTGTGTAATCATTAAAAATCGCATCAATTAAATTACATATCTACTGCTGTGAATGTATAGAATATATTTCTATATGTATGTGTGTGTAAAATTGAATTTAAATGTGGTTTGGTTCATAGCATATTTCAATGTGTTCATTCAATGGACGTTTATCCTCATTCTTATTAATGGTCATACTTAACACAGCTGCTTTAACATTTATGGAGAATGTTACTTTTAGACACCTCTTTCAATTAGAGACCTCGTAGTCTCTAATTGGTTCAATTCACAGCTTTCTGGTTCATTCAAGGCTTTTACTCTCTCTCTCTCTCTCTCTCTCTCTCTCTCACTCTCTCTCTCTCTCTCGACCGATGATAAAAACATTAAGAGTGAACGAGTTCAGAAACAAAACCGCAAAAGATTTAGTGTTAAATGATAGAACTTGGAAGTTCATATCGGTGGAATTGAATGTTGTTTATTAGCGTGTCGTTGATGTATATGTGTACAATATACATATTTTAAATGAGCTCATGTTATCATTAACCTTTTGAAAATATGATATATTTCTTAGTCCGTAAAATCAGTGGTGATGAAAGGTCACTTATGAACAGACGGTGCATACTAAATGACGAAGCGCTCGCGCGCACATCTCCTTCTCTTTCTCTTTCTCAATGAATCATCTATCCGTATAATATGCTTTATTAGAGCAATTGACGGTGATGATATTTGACTATGATGCCATACATAGTCTATGACCGATAGACACGATGGCTACGAATGAGGTGTAAAAGAGAACTGGAAATTAATCTCATCTTCTTATTATTTCTTTTTTGTTGGTTCACTGTTATCTGTTCACGTGTCGCTTTATCTAGACTAATCGTTTTGCAATGCATGAGAGGCCGTATCCAATCTGTTTTAGCCATCGATAGAGCAAAAAAAAAGAGTAATAGAGAAGCAGAGAGATGGAGGAGCGCAGATACATTTTTTAGCAAAATTTAATTTATTCATAACCAATATTTCACGATCGATGCCAAGTCATAAATCAACAATTTATCCATATAATTTCGAAGTGAGCGAGTGAAAGTTCAAGGATAATTTCAGGCTCAGTGCAAAAAGGTAATCATATTAGTAATCGACATACGCCGCCTTCAATATATTTTTTCGATTTCTGATTTTTGCTTCTTCTTCTTCTTCTTCTTCGTCACCAGCTTTTTTTCTGTTTATTCGACTCAAACCACTTTTGCAAGACGCAACTCGTACGCCATAAATTCCAATTTATCGATTGAAGCAGAAAAAACGCAATTCAATTGAAAAACTGATTCAATTCAAACGGTGAGCGCATGTAGTGCGTCTCTGTAACCATACATAGATTGAGACAGGAACTTTTTTCGGAATTCATCTGAAAAGTAACGGATGTGTTCATTTATGTCTTTGATGCCTGCTGATTTCCAGGATAAACTTTCGACTCAATTTTCTTCCATTTTTTCATCGTCTTCTTTTCATTTTTGATGCAGCATTCATCATTTTTACCTCATGCTGTGTTCATCTCTAGCAACATTTAAATTGGCTTGTGATTCATTTTTTACGACATATTTGCACAATTTATCCAGATTCTGTGTTCGATGTTCGTGTCAAACTTCAAAATATCTACGAATGGTATTACTTCATCCAACACACACGTATTGTGTGTGGGGGGGTTTGTACGGCAACTCTTTAAACATTTTTTTTGTGTTATTGTGCAATAAGATGAAATGAGAAAATTCGTAAAATAAATTAGTTTTCCCATTTTCAACAAAAAGAAATTGAATTTATTTGGTTGATGCAGGAATAACATAAAACGCTTCACCTCACATCATCAAATTTATAAAGACGCACAACGCGTCGAAGATGAGAAGCAATTCAACTGAAATTTAATTTATTAAAAGAACCAAAAAAAACATGTCACAGTCTTTGTACAAAAAATTATGAACAATTTACTTTGAACCGGGCAAATTGATGTTGAAATTGGAACGAAAATGCAATCGGTGCCAATTAAAAAGTTTTTAATTGCACTAAATTGGATCAAATTCATTGAGAGAGAGAGAGAGAGAGAGAGAAAAAAAAAAAGATCAGAACAGAGAAATTATATGTATGGTTACAATCAGCATATCAATGATTTTAATTGGAAGCCGCATAACCTTTTGTCGTTTGGCGTCACTGCCGCCGATAATGATCAAACGGGTTGATTAAAGATGTGGAAAACGAACAGTGTACAATAGACTTCATAAATAATTATTCGGTAAAAATGAAATACCAACTCAATTCCAAATTAACCAGGGTAAATATGAAACGGATGAACAAAAAAAAAATGAAAAACAATTTACATTTTGTTGGTTTGTTTGTTTTATGCGTCTGCTTCGGCAAGTGTTCATCCTTCATTTTAACGCTGCATAAAGCAAACAAACGAATCGAATATGAAATGAAAAAAAATATATATCCCAAATGTTTGCTAATAAAAAGTCAATTCTCATCATGCATTTTCGGAATAAATGCGCTCACTCGCATATGCAGCACACTTTACCTCGTTTATGATATAACGTGCACACATTCAATGCATTTCAATGTGCAAATCATACGCGTGCTGAAAATACAAGAATTTGAATGGAAATTCATCTACTGGAGGATGCAGTTTGTTTGTTGCGCTTTTCCACTTTCATTCAAATATGTGCGTGTTTTTTTCTCTCTCATCTTTTCGTTGAACGTTCGTGTTTTAACTTTTTTTTACTGTCTTTTTTGTCGTCATTTAACGACATAAATATGTAGATTATCAATATATGGATATGACCTATGTGCGAGCAAATGCAAATTTATTCCCATTTTTGTCGTAATTTTTTTTTGTCTCACTTTGTCTATGCACATGTCTCTCTGTGTGTCTGTGTTGCTTCTGCAGTTTTCCGTATTTCTTGCTTGAATCGTAATTACGAAGCAAAATCATGAATTCGCTGCTGTGTCAGAATATTTGTTGAAATCCGTTAGCGAAAGTGAAAAAATAGCTTAAAACTTTTGCAAATATACGAGACAGAAACACATCCATACAGAATATATATGAAAGCAAGACCAAAACCGATTCGTTGAGAAAAAAGTTTTCGCTGAATTTATTCGTACACACAGAGTTTTGTCTGTTGTATACGCGCGTGTGTGATCTATTTGTTTTTATTCTCTTTTTTGGCGATTTCGTATGTGCAGTTGTCGCGTTATGCCATTCGTTTTTCTCGTTGTCTGCGACCATGTATATCTGTGTACGATTTTTTTCTGTTTTCTCGGTGCATAAATTACATTTTGCATATAAACATAATTTGTTTTGCATTTTGTCCATATACACAGATACATATTTGCAAACAGACACACAGACACATCCGACGCTAGTATATTGAATGTGACGGCAAGTGAAGGTATGTTACGTATAAATGGGATGTCACTGGATAAATATGACCGTATGTAATGGCAAGTTATGGGAATGAACCGAACAAAAATACACACGCACACACTCAGTCCATCATGCACAAGCATGAGATATAAAATGGAAAATGACAGAGAACAAAAAAAACGGGAACGTGAAATGAAATCCAATATAAAATTTGTCATCGCAAAATGATGCGGCGAACATTTGATTGTTTTATGGGCACTACATATATACATTTCTCAAACGATGAATGGATAGTGGATGGTAAAAGGTATAGCGCGCGTAAAGTGATCGTACCCAATATACTTTACGAGGTATTTTACTGCGGTAAGCTCAAATAAAAAATGCAAACTGATCATGAAAACTTAATTTGACACTCGCGCACGAGCGCATTTAGTAAATTTGAGCAGGTGATTGAGCGGGGTTAAAGGTGGATGGAAAATCTATTCGATTTTTGTCGATCGAATATTGAATCACCGTGATTTCACTGCATGACGATTTTTTTCACTTCTCTACCTCCTCCGTCTTCTTCACCATCACTTGTTTTATCTTTGGCCATTTTTTTGTGTCATTTTGCCATGATGTGAATAACATCATGTACAATTTCGTTGTTGTATTTTTTTATTTTATTCACATTTTGGTTGCTTCTAAAAAGTTAAACCATACGTTTTTATTCGGTTCTGTATGCGCACTTCGTTTTACATACTCACATACGAATACTATAGTACAGACATTTTGTTGTTGTTTTACTGTTGCTACCGTTGTAGATGGATATCGTTGTTGGTGTCCTTTCTATTGTTCGTTTTGGTGCGTTTACGATTCCATTTTGCTTTGTTTTACGGGCACGCTTTTTTCGCCCGTACTTTTTGTCATCTACGTGTACGAACACACACGCGCGCCCATTCGCCTCACATTGGCAAAAGCTTAACGAGACTCATAAATAATTCCTGCGGTCCTTCGGTTTTCATATCCAATATCTCGCATAATATGTTTTCAGGCAAATGTCTCTGTGTGTATGCAATGCAAAATTATATTTTGCCAAATAATATAGAGCGAAACAGACACTCGAGTGATCACATATACTATGCATTTATATTAGAATATGGTTGAACTTTTAAGAATGGTGATATAATGTAAACGGCATGCATATACCTACCCTATTACGCACATCATCATTGTCGTAACCGTCGTCGCCATCACCAT